TTTTGAACTTCAAGATCCATTGAAACTGCAACTGAGAACAAATTGGAGAGTAATCGATATAGGAAGTGTTGATTTAGGGGAAGTTATGAGAAGAACATGCGAGCCAGTGCAGGTTTTTTTTTCTGATAAGATCTACCCAATCTGAGGAAAAAAAAAACGAAAAAAAACCTAATACTTCACTGTAGTTGTGAAACTCGCCCAACCTCGATCTCTACATGTGGCCACATCCATTTCGAGGTGTTTAGGTCGATTCAGCTTTCTTTTTAACTCAATCCTACAACCCTAGAATAGGTTTCAACTTCAAGACAATTCTTGCCACTTTTTGGTCCTTTGGTATGTATGGGATTTCCGAAGCGTTCATAAACTCATTTCAAGAAATAGCCATGAACAGTGCCTATTTCTAGCGTTTCTTTTGGTTTGGGGTTCAATTTTTTTTCTTTGAGTTTTTGTTTCACCGTAGAGAAATTGATACTCTGGGCAATACGTGTCGAACTGGAAGTCGTGTGGCTGAACAGGATTTTCTGCGCGAATTTTGGCAGATGAAATGGATTCGTTAGCGGCACCTGCAGCAGCAGCAGACTGGCTGCAACTCGCCATGCAGCCACAAGCCATTTGTCATTCGCTTGTCTATCGCGACCTGTCGCCACTAAATCACGTTCTGATAACTAACTGTAATGTCTGGGTGAACAAAAGCGCAGTGTTCACCTAGAATGAGAACACCTTTGCCTTCTAATGAGTCAACGTCATGGAAACGAAAATGCTTCCTCAATGAGTGAACCCATGACGGACCCATGCTACACTGTGTGCCCAAAGCCGGCTGCGCCCCATAGGTTTTATTTTTTAAGTATTTTGGTGTCTCTTGCTATAGGTTATATTTGTTAGCTTTTATTCACTCGTTTTTTCAATGTTCCAAAGTGGCTAATATGCCTTTCCGGCTAAAAGAACTTGTTTATATTGATAGAGGATAAGACAAGGATAAAGCATTTGCCATTGATCAATCCCGTTTTGAGATGCGGCACGCATTCTACTTCCATTTGTACATTCGTAGTGGCGTTTGAATGCGATGTGGCCGATACAATGACTTGCGGGGGGCCAGCCGATGTTCAAGTCAGTGTTTTTATCCTCCCAGACAAGTCTGGTACCAATTAACCGACCCCGGAGGGATGGAAGGCTTGGTTGGCCCGGGCGACTCACGACCCAGGATTTGATCCCCGGACCGCTCGCGTGGTGAGCGTGCCACTTGCCACTACACCACTTCCGCCCGTTTATATTGATACTGATAGAAATAGCATAAATTAATGATCAGTGCAGAAAAAAGCACAAAACATGCAGACGAACAAAATGTTTAGCAGAGCGAATTCGTGACGGGTGTAGTGTCGTTTGAAAAATTTTACACGTTGCAGAATGAGATTCAAGAAGAGAACGAGGACAGCGAGAGGGAGGAGGGTGATGAAGACGAGGATGCTGAAGCGCACAGGGAAGCGGCTATTCAGGAGCGGAAGAAAAGCGCTGACGAACGGATTAAAGTAAGTTTTCCTTTGATGTGCTTCTCCTATGCTGATAAGAAGACTTCTTAGACATTACATCCATTGGTTTTATTTATAATTGTTGTTTGTTTGTTTATTCATTTCATTGTGTTCTTTCATTTTCCAAAGTTCCCAATGTGTGCATATGTGGAGGTTATTTCCCTATTTGAAGAAAACAATCTCCTTATGGGACCGTATGCTGAACTCTCGGCCCTGTGGTGGGGAGTGAATTCCTTTGGATTCAATTGCTTTAATTGGAATTATTTTCACTCCGAATACTTTTGTAGATCTACACACAGTTATGTGTTGAAGCCTTTTCCTGCGGTAGTACTGGTTGGGAAAATGAATAATAATTTTTCTCTGCCAATTAATTCAAAACTTCAGCCAGCAATTCGAAGTTTGAAATAACAATAAATTCCAACGAATAATATTTTTTCCCATACCACTGGACGGGCAACTTACGGACTTTGTTGTCTTTTTCAGATCAAGAGATCAATCAACAAAAATGATGTCATTTTACAGTTTGTCATATCACAATCGAATCTCATTGTTGACTACAAGTTTGACGTGAATTCGGAACGATGGTGTGAAGTGGTGTTTCAATTGCCATTAGGAAACAAAAGCAAATTGGATCTTGTCAACGATCGTAGAGAAGTATGCTTTTGACGTAGTTTCGACTATCCTTCCATATCCTTTATCATTTCTCTTTTTTGCCCCTTGTATCCTTTTTCTGGAGCCTTTTTTCTTAGTTTAGTTGCAATCTCATAATTCTTCGAAGTTCTTGAATGACCGATTTTTGAACCCGTTTTCAGAGAGGTGGAAAAGTTCATCGTCCATCAAACACCTGGTATAGAACGCTGTATCGAAACAGAAGAGATGGTGAACGATGTGCCAACAAAGTTTTTACAAACACAGGGCATCAATCTTGAGGTAAATCTCCGTGAGATGAAGTTTGCGAGCTCCTGTCTCAAAATTGAAGAAATATATGACGGGTGTCAGTACCATTGTGAACCTTACGCAGTGAGGATACCGCTGTCATACTGATCAACGATCCTTGCCCTGGCTGTCAATATTTATATCATAAAGGTGCCAGCCCGATGATCCCAGGTCATGAGCTAGACTAAAATGATGGTTCGCGCATGATCTGAGGTTTTTTCCGCGGTCGATCGGTGATGTCATAATGTGTTATTGGAATTTGGACGATTCGGCGAATCCGCTGAAAAGAATGCATAAATATAGAATGATGACAACTTAACCATTGAAGAAATATATATTGGCTTGTTCGGAAAGTTTCGCCGATTTTGACCCTCAAATAGAAAGGAAATAAGAAATTTTACATAACAGCCTATAGAGTATGTTGTATTCAAGGCTTCGAAAAAGAGGAGAAAGGTGTTTCATGGTTGAAGTAAGTAGTATTTTAGACAGAGCGAGAAACGCGCTTTCTAATGGTATATGAAGTGTTAGCAGTTTTCAGAAGTGATTCAGAAATGAAGCGTTTAAAAGTGAGTTACTAAAAACGGTGGAAGCTTTCCGAACAACCTAATAAATACAATGCCCCATCTCGAGAATAAGAATTGGAACTGATGGAATCAAGGTTCCAACTTACGAACCGGCGCTTTTTCTTCTTGCGCTGTATGCGCTCCAATATTCACATCGTTAGACAAATTATTTTTTGACAGCGATTTTGAGAAAAAAGAACATGGTTGATGTACATTGGGATGGCTACATTTTGAATCCTATACGACCCCTTCATTGTTGCATTTGGTTATGCGATGTAGCGACGAAGGATAACCACTTGAAGCGATTTTTGAATGAATTTCTCACAAGGGCAGTGAGTTGTCATTACTCCCTTTCTGGCTATATTTGAGAATAATCTCGAACGGTCATGTTTTTGAAAGTATTTTTTAATTACATATCGAGAATTGCTTATCCGTAAGTCTGTGGTTTATTAATTATATCGAGTTTTAGCTAGAGAATAATT